GTAGTCAGCAATCAGGACAGATTGGGAGTGCGCCAGTTCATGGCGGATCGACAAATGGCTAGAACTGGCAGGCAAAGACCAGACGATCGAGCAACCGGTCCACCAACAAGGGAGGAAGGAAGGCGACACAAAGAGGGGGCACTTTCCAAAAAGGTTTGGGGTATCACAAGTGGAACTGATAGGGTCGTCCAGAGAGAGTCGGTTGATGGTGAAATACTGACATCCGGGAATCAGGGTCAACGTCTTCTATTGACTCTGGCTCTGCATGCTAAAAATCCACAACTCAGAGCTGAAGCTGGAGTCTGTCTAGCTCATGGGATCTTTGGCAAGTTATAGCAATATCCTAATTACGTTGATTCCTACATTTCTAGCCTGATTTCACTAGCACTGCCTCTAATATTCCAGCCAATCAGGCTTGCAAAATGGGTTTACGTAAAATTACATACTCAAAAAATATTTATCGTCATATTCTACCATTTAGGACTCACAATTACAAATACATCATTATTTACAACTTATTTTTCGCTTATCTCAAATAAATCATTAAATAAATAAATATATATATATATATATATATATATATATCTTCTTGAGTTGCTGCTCTATTCATAATTAAAAATCCACTATGGATTATGTTCAGCGGCATCACTCTACAAAAGTGAAAAAATTATAATTTTTACGACTACTAATTTTTGTCGTATTCCTTAAATAAACTTCTTTATTTTCGTAAGTAATTAGGTTTTCGAGACTATCAGTAAATCAGATATGTGAGTTGTGTTCACCCTATTCCATGTGATATAGAAAATACCTGACATTTCTTGAAATTCACATCTACCCTGCGACTCAAGGGCACTCGTGACAATGTGGCGTAGTGGTTAACGTGTCGAGCTCACATGCTACACTGTCATGGTTCGACTCCCATTTGGAGTGTTGATAAAACCTATGCGAAGTCGAACTGCAGTCTACCCTGGATAAGAACACCTTTTGAGAAAGCAAGTCTATGTCAAAATTCAATAAAACTATCAGCTCTATTTATATCATTAGTGGAAAATCAACTACCATTCCTTCATTACCTTAAACGAAATTTGGTGTACGCAATTCCAATTTCTCTATTGTCAGCAAAATCAATCTTAACTTTATGCTAAGAATTATTCACTTTACTTAAGGTTTCATCTAATATAACTGTTGCTGGGCTCGGTTTACTTTGCTCAATTAGATGTTTCTAACTTATCTTCAAGTAACTTGGACCAGACTATGGAATTGGCTATTGATTTATTTATGCTCGATTAATTCCCTATTCTTTCCCAACAAAGAAAACAAATGTTAAATCTCAAATAGCACTATAACCCTTGATAACACATACGCATAAAAATAAAATGTGGCATATCAAACACAAAAGGATAATGAAGACTTAAAAATACATCTCATATTAAAAATACGAGTCAGAAAAGTGAATATTTGAATACTCTAATAGTCGAAAATAAGCCTAAATGGTTCAGGTACAGCCTTTCGACCGTCCTTGAAAGATGCCATAGATCTCATTTATTTAGTTAATCAAAAAATATGCCAAAATTCAGCATTATCAATCATAGTAACTATAGAAGTAGCGCTTGAATTATCTTTTCCTAAAACAGCAGTCTTTACTCGTTACTCACTAGGCCTTACTGCCTTCAGTAAGCATGTGTAACACAATAGCAATGCAAATTTAAGATCTAACTTACCTCCCAAGCAGGTCGCCGGGATCTCCGCAAAGAACTCTCCGGTTCTCTTGGTCAAGGCGAAGGCGACACATGGACTTCATTCCTTACTCAGATGCTCTTTCTCCTCCATTCCGAGTTGCCGCTGCCCGATGAGCTTGGGTAAGATTGCATACTGTTTTTCGATGCATATCTCCTTCCTAAATGAATTCATAAAATTACGCCGAACCTTCTGTTGCGTTGCTTTCAGTGAAGACGGTTCAAATAATTGCCCAAATGATTAGTTTAAAGATCCCCTGCTGCTAAGGCTTTAAATGTTTCTTCTAGTAACAAATATCTGTACAAATAAAGGGAAACACGAAACGTTTTTATCATCAGCAACCTTAACCGTAATCAAATTCGGTTAGTGTCGCTTATATTTTATGCTTGGCATCACTACGCCAAACTACCATAGTCCACAATTGGTTACATAACAGGCTAGTAAGACCTCTCCTCCTTCACATCTATTATAGGGTTGTCGCAAAAACAAATTTGTCTTCTCCATTCACCCAATTTCGTTTAAGATGAGGTAGGACTATTAGTTGATGTTTGCTTAAATGATATGAATAGAGCTGATATTTCCATTAAATTTCAAATAGCTTTACTTTCCAAAAGGGTGTCCTCATCCAGGGTCGACTGCGGTTTCGACCTCGCTTAGGTCTCATCAACATCCCCAGTTAAAGTCGAACCATGACACTTCATCGTATAAGCTCGACACGTTAACCCGTACGCCACATTGTCACGAGTGCCCTTGGGTCACAAGGCAGATGTGAATTTCAAGAAGTGTGAGCTAATTTCCATATCACACTATTTTTTGGAATTGTCGATGAAGCAAACTTATATTTGCCATAGCAATCAACTACATTACTTTTTCCTGTACTTTCTGGCTATCAAAACTACCAGTAAATCAGATATATGGATTGTATTCACGTTATTTCGCGTCCTCGACAATCCCAACACCGAAAGTGATATGGAAAATGCCTGACATTTCTTGAAATTCACATCTGCCCTGTGACACAAGGGCACTAGTGACAATGTGGCATAGTGATTAACGTGTCGAGCTTGCACGCTGCACTGGCATGGTTAGACTCCCGCTTGGGGTGTTAATAAGTCTTATGCGAGCTCGAAACTGCAGTCCACCCTGGATGAGAACACCTTTTGGGAAAGCAAGGATGTGTGAAAATTCAATGGAAAACATTAGCTCTACTCATATCATTGTGGGACAAATCAATTACCAGTCCTTCATCAGTTTTACCGAAATAGGCTGTATACAACTCATATAAGTTACTTATATTTATTTTGAATATGTAGACCTTGAATAAGTCATGAAAGCACCTTAACGCGAGTAAAGCTATGAAAATGTAAGTTCTTGACTTTCTTACAATGAGATAAGTACATTTCATATTAGATAGGAATATTAGCAGGATTTTGATAAATCTTTTTTGTTAACATTGTTGTGTATACTTTCTTTCGTATAAAAATGAATGATGAAAAGCTTCGTTGGTTGATCTCACCGAAAGACAACGGCCGTTTCCCGTTGTTATGCAGCCGTTTTTCCTTAATACGATGTTCAGGTGGACACAGTTCGGGTTTCACTAGAAACGAAGAGGGACGACTCGTGGGCTGCGTTAACCTGAAATTCGTATAAAATCCACATGGTTGCAGAACAAAGGCAATCGGCTGTCGTCTTCAGGTGAGAATCAATTCAGCATGCACTCTCATAAGCTATGAAAGTCTACGCAACATAGCACTGATTTTAATATAAAAGACCTTTATTATTTAAAATATACCTCTAGTATTCAACCTACTTAATACGAATATGAGTAACATAGCCGATTGCAATGGCAAATACAAATTTGCCACCGATACATTCCAACAATACCTGTGATAGAGAGACCTGGTTTTTCTTGAAAGTCAATTCTGTTCTGTGATCCGTTGGCACACTTGTCAGTGTGAAATATTGCTAACACGTCGGAAATATACGCTGCACT